CCCTGCAAGAAATGGCTGGGGCAGAAATGCACATGGTAAGCTAAGATATCTTATCCTGAGTAAGACCAGGGGTTCCCGTGCCAAAGAAAGAGGTGAAAAGAATGATAACTGTGGGTCAAAAGGCGTCACCCATCTTTCCAGAGATCGGGACGTCACGAAAAACGAAAGCGCAGATGATTCCCCATGACTCATTATTCTGAAAAAACTTTCAAAAACCTTTTTGTGAGTGACACGTGAGCATGTGTGTGTGTGACATGCATGAGGTGGTCAGATAACCTTCAGGAGTCATTTCTCTCCTCCCACTGTGGCTTTCTGGGGATGAATGTCAGGCTTTCAAACTTGCATGGCTTGTCCCAGATGGCAGCGGTGTGGGCCACTGTTCTATGTACGTGGATCTCCCAGACTGGAGGGTAAGCTCCGTGAGACCAGACAAGGTTTAAAACCTAGGCCTGCCTCTTCACTACAGAACGTCCGGTTGACGGGCTCTGCCCAGCCCCTTTCTACCAAGATACTTGAAACGCAACTTTGAAAACAATTCCTTTCGCAGGCCGCAAATCCAGTAGCCTCAGAGGCACAGAGCAGACACTCAGGATGCACACAAAGTCCTGCTGATGACCGAGTGCCGACTGCAGGCGTCACTAGCACCTCTCATTCCCCTTTAAACGTCCACAGACACTGACCTCATGCTCCTGACCCCTGTTGCTCATGAGGCCTAGGAGGACCCATCCCCCACTCCCCAAGGAAGGACAGGCTGCAGCATCACAGCAAAATCCACGGATCGTTCTGACTTCTGCCAGCTGCACGGCTGGCCCAGACCCGCTGGAGAACAGCTGCTTTCTCTCCCGAGCCTGAGCCTGGCCAAACTGTAAATAGGTCTGTTTCCTTTACCGGTCCCTGCTTTCCAATGTCTTTTGGAATACAGAGAAACTAAGGCATCAGATCATGGATCTGCATGTTGGTAGCAATGTCCCCAGGCAGTAGGAGAGCTGGGACTGAACGGGGTGAGTGAAACAGCATAGGCCTCCCATCTAATTCTGTTCTGTTCTTCCTGTCCTGATCCAACCAGAGGCCTCGAGGAACGAGCTCCCGCCCACAACCCTCACCCATGCCGCACCCGTCTCCCAGGACCCTGCAGAGAAAGAAGAAAAGCAGGAAACGAAACTGTACAGAGGTCCCCAAGATCCTGTGAGAGGGTCCTCACCTCTGCCATGTCGCATTGTGCAGGATCCCTCAGGATGCTCCATGAGAAGACTGAGAGGTCCTGCCTGGAAGGCTCTGTGCTCCCAGGCTGGTCCACAGCCTGGCTCCACCTTGCTCACCCATTGCCTCAAGCCTGATGGAAGGGTGAAAATGAGACCAACCTTCCTTCGTCAGAGTGAGGAAGACCTGCCAGCCAGGTGACTGCAGTTCCCTACACTTGCCAATCCTGAGCTCAGAATCACCCTTCAACACCACTCTTCTTCATGAACTATTTTCACTTCACAAGACTGAGTGAGGACCGACGACGAGATGGCTCAGCAGGTAAAGAAAGGCACACTTGCTGCCAAGCCTGATGGCCTAGGCTGAGCCCTCTGACCCCACGTGGTGGGAGGGGAGAACCAGCTGACCTCCGCATGTTCCACACCTGCGCAAATACATGAATGTTAAAACGTGTTCAAGGAAGAGAAAAAGATGGATGGATGTCAACCTTGGGTAAGCTAAAGGGACCTTTCCTACAGAGTGGCTTCTCCCATGAACCAGGCACAGGCATGGAGTAGCTAAGAGGCCACCGAGCAGGGCAGAAGCAGGGTGGACCTGGGTGGGACCTTTCCCACCCACCACTTGACTGGCCTGAGCCATCACGGAAATTCTCTGCAGCTTGGCTTTCAGACCTGGGGCCTGGAAGAAGTAGCACCTGGCGCTTCCCCTGCCCTCAGAATCTCGAGGTCATGTCATTGAGCACGCTGCTCGTACCTGCCACGCAGTGAGCAATCCCTCAGCTTCCTGGAGTGCTCAGTCTGGACTCTGGATTCCTAGAATGAAGGTGCAGAGCCTATGGGCCGGGAGCCATCCTGGCCATCCCCCCCCCTCCCCCGGCCACAGTAAGTTCACTGCAGTCAATGCAACAGCTGAAGAGAAGAGAACGTGGAATAGGTGCCCTTTCCAGGTTGCTGCCATTTGGGACTGCTTCCACACTCCACTAGGAACACATGGGTCCACCTTGGAGGTGAAGCTCCTGACTCAAAATTCAGAGGCACTGTTAAGAACAAGAGATAGCCAAGATTCTACGAGAGGAAGATCTGGAGGCCACCTCCATTTCCAAATACTAACATGCTCACATCCCTGCACAGCCGAAAAACTGCATTTGATGTTGCCGTCATTTCCGCATTGGACCGAAACATGATTAAAAAAAAAACCACGAGGTGGTTTGCACAACTCCTGTATATGGACAAACACACCTCCAACACCTTCTGGTTGAAGTCATGGACAAAGGAAGTCCCAGACCTGCCCTTAGGACTCCACGGAAGATTCTGAGGAGCCAGGCTGTTTGTTTGTTTGTTGTTTACAAAAGGCAGGAGGGCTGTAGTGAGTGCAAGGCCAGCCTAGATGACTTCGCAAGTTCCAGGACATCCCGGACCAACAAACACTAACCAAAGACACAATAAAAGATAATTCCGAGTCTCAGGAATTACCCTGTCCTGGACGAGCTGAGATGGCCACCCGCCTCCGTGGAACCCCATTTGTATTTTAAAAGAATAGTAACGGCGGCCATGACATGGGAAAGAGGCATGTACTACGTGAGAGTCCAGAATCAAGACTGGCTTTTATAACTAAGTGTTCAGCAGCTCCCTCGGCGTCCCCTAAAGCTCTCAAGTGGCTGCGTTTGTCTGAGGCAGACACTACACTTCACACACACACACATTCTCTCTCTCTCTCTCTCTCTCACACACACACACACACACACACACACACTCTCTCTCTCACACACACACTCTCTTACACACACACTCTCACACACACACACACACACACACGGGGTGGGCTCACTCACTGCCTTAGCACCTTGGCCTTGCTCTCCCCATAGCTCCCCAGCTGGGTACTCACGGTGACATTTTTCAGGCTCCTTGGTGGCTGAGGCCCGGATCTGAGCTGCTGGCAGCTCACGGCTGTGTCCGTAAATGTCACTTTTAGATTAACCAGCCCCTGCTGTTTAAAAATATCCCCCAGAGCATTTAACCTTCACGGCCCTGACCGGCAACAGTGACCCGGGCAGGGCGGAAAATGATCCTTCAGCCGGGCACCCGGGCTGCACCCGACTCCCGGGGAACTGTCCTACCCTCAACCCCACAGCTCACTTTATTATTTCAGAATTCCCAGAGACTTAAACAGGAGCCATCGCAAGCCCGGGGTGTCATAAGCAATAGGAGAAAGGTCACTCTGGCCTGTGACATTTTGCTGGTCATTAGAGAAGAGAGCCCCCAGCGAGAGGGGAGGGACTCCAAAGATGGTCTGGCACCCCTCCCCAGCAAGGTTTCAGGAGGCCCTCTGCAACCATGCCCTGTTCATGAAATATTTCTAATATTTCCTGGGACTTGGGGATTAAAAAACAAGGCTGCCTTATTTGGGATTAGCTAGCTCGGGATAGAGCTGAGTACAACAGAGGAAGCCAGCCCATGCTGCAGTCACGGAGTGTGCTGAGACATGTGGGCCAAAGGCCACCTCCAGGTCCCAACCAGAACTGGCAGTAACCAAGGAATCGGAAGCCACGTGCCAACACTGTGCTCAGGCAAAGAGGGGACAATAGTAGAGTGGTCCTGAATTCTGATCCCATGACTCTGCTATGCTACAAAGCCCGTGGGGAGCACGGAGTCAGCACAGGAGGGTTCAGGAGGCTCTGCTATGCTACAAAGCCCGTGGGGAGCACCATCAGTACAGGAGGGTTCAGGAGGCTCTGCTATGCTGCAAAGCCCGTGGGGAGTTACGGAGTCAGTACAGGAGGGTTCTGGCTACTCTTGGGACACCTCTTACCCAACCTGCGCTACTTCACTTGTGGGCTTATTTTCCAGTTCGGAAAAGTCAACGAAGACTGGGTTTCTCGCAGGTGGTGGGGTTCTCCAACGGACTTGGGAGCAGGAAGCGGACTTTGAGCCGTTATCTTGTCCTCTTCAAGCTGCGGTGTCACTGGCCATAGACCTGTGCCACAGGCACACAGCTGGGAATGGAGAACGCAGTCGGGGCTAAGTACACCTGACGCTGCAGTAGCCTAGCCTCGTCCTAAACTGTTAAAGGAGCTCACATGCTCCCGAAAGAGGTTCCTTGGAAAGTGCATCTCCTGGAAAGCCGCGTGCGACTGAAGGCATTTCAGATAACCCCCTCAAACACATTCCTTCTCAGGCTGAGGATGCAGCTAGCAACACACAGCTCTTGCTTAGTGTTTCCAGGGCCCTGGGCACTCTCCCCGCCCTCCTCCCTTCCTTCCCGGTGACCTTATAGTTATGATCTAGGCAGGGGGTTGACAGTGACAAGATCATTGAGCTCTGTCATCAGGTTGATGTGAGTTCAATCCTCGCTCAGTTATTCACGACCCTGAGGTTGTGTGTTCTCACCTGCCATTTCACCATGGGGTTGGAAAAAAAAATGATAATGCTAGGCTCCCAGCAAAATGGTTTACTTGTCACCCCACCCCACCCCCGTTGTCTCTGGTGTGCTTTATAGGGACAGAGTTGAGACTGTAGCCCACGCTGAGTGTAACTCACACGGCCCAGGCTGTCCTGGAACCTGTGGAAATCCTCTTCCTCAGCCTCTGTGGTGCTGGATGACAGATGTGAGCCCCACTTGGTTGATCCTTCTAATGAAGAGCACCACTTCCTGTCAGGGATGGTGCCTCACTCCTGTGATCCCAAACAGAGGCCGGAGTGCTGAAGTTTCAGGCAAACCCCAGGTCTACACATTGGGTTCCAGGACAGCCAGAACTACCTCATGAGACCTTGTCTCAAAAAAACAACCAACAGAAGCCAGGCAGTGGTGGCGCACACCTTTAATCCCAGCACTCGGGGGGCAGAGAGGTAGGTGGATCTCTGTGAGTTCGAGGCCAGCCTGGTCTACAGAGTGAAATCCAGGACAGCCAGGGCTACACAGAGAAACCCTGTCTCAAAAACAAAAACAAAAAAACCCTGTGCTGGGCATGGCTAGGGAAGGCGGGTCCGGTGGGGAAACCCGGAGGGAGCGGACTGCGTGGACACAGTGGATTTTCAGAGGGAGCGGACTGTGTGGACACAGTGGATTTTCAGAGCGCAATGGCTGGCCAATGTAGCCAATCAATGAGTTTTAGGTTCAACAGCAGACCCCAACTCAATAAAATAAGATAGAGATAGCCCAGCGGATAAAACATGCGAGCATGAAGACAAAAGTTCTGATTTAAACTGGGTGGCAGCTCTAGTGGCCTTCCTATAATCCTGCAGCTCAGACAGCAGTGGCAGCTAGTGGTAGAGCGGGCTGGGCTACCAGTGAGCTCTGGATATGGCAGCTGACACCTTGCCATAGCGAATATGGTGGAGTGCTATGCAGGAGGGCTCCTGATGCCAACCTTAAACCTCCACACATGTAAACACGCATGCATATACACCACATACCCAGCAAAAAGCACTAGACACATCCAACAACCACCTCAGCCACCCCCCGCCACACACACACTATACACACTGAAAATGTCACAATGAAATCCATTATTTGTACAACTGATATGCTCATGTCTCAAAAGACGTATTTTCTGGAATACAAATGGGATAGCTAATTCTACTGATGGAAAACAAGAATGTTAATAGAGTGTGTTCGTCTCCTCGAAAGTCTCTTAGATTCAGACACACGCGTTCCAAACGGTCGTGAAGGCTAGGTGGCACAGGGAACTAGATACCTTAAGTTCTGAGACCCCAATTGAAAGGCAAGACTCTACAGAGATATCTTCAGTGAAGCTTCCCATCTCTGCTCAGTTTGAGCTGGGAGGTTCTCAAGTTGACTTGGGCCAACTCTTGTCTCTCCGCTGCCCGTCCATCAAGAAGTTTTGGCAAGGCTGAAAAGTCACTGGTACCACATACCCCACCCCCAAGTTCTGCTTCTCCACTGGAACCCGAGACTTTATCCCAGGAGAGGAGTGGAGACAGCAGGGGATTCAGAGAACGGAGAACTCACCAGTAGAACCCACATCCGATTTTGCCCTGCTGGGCTCGGGTCAGAACCAGGGACTTTCACACAATTAGTGTATAACTTGGGGTTCCCAGGATGACATTTGTATAACTGACTTCCTCACCCCAGGGGGAAGTGACAGGAACTGCTTTTTCCAGGCCAGTCTTCCCAGGCCTCCCACACTGCCACACAGAGCCTTCAGATCTTCACACAGAAGGGGCCTCGGCTACCTGGCTGTGTACACGACCAACGTACATGTGTAAAATTGTTCCTCCTGTCTCGCCAGGAAACCTTCCTTCTATCCCCAGCTTGACCAGAACTAGGGGATCACTTCCCCCAGGCATTTCATTCCCACCCCATCAGCAGAGCACACGGGGGTCATCAAGCTGTCCCAGGCAGGCAGTGTCTACATTTATCATGTCGGGGTCGGGGATGCTACTGGGCCACATGGAAATCAGGTTAAATACACATTAGCATCTACGCAGCATCACCGGCTCCCTTACGCTCTCTCAAGACTCCAGCAGTTCCCAGACTGGATGGCGGCAAACTGGAAACACTGAAATCTCCCTGGCCCACCCCATTCTGTTCATTTTCGTACAGTACCGAGGAACAAACCTGCAATGTAGAATCCCCCCAAATACTACTGCCACATTGCTCGTAAAATGAGGCTTTTGCTGTTACATAAAAAATGATGAACTTATGTCGTCTTTTCAGGGGGTGAAGTGGGGAGGGCCATACATCCTTTAAGACGCTCAGTCAGGCATGGTGGCCCACACCTGTAACTCCTGAGCTTGGGAAGCTGAGGCAGGAGGATTGGCATGAGTCTAAGGCCAGTGTGGGGTAGAGAGCAAACTCTCAGCCAGTTCACCTTCCAGAATGTTGTTCTGTTTCCACACCTATTTAACATTATTCTTTGTGGGTTTTTTTTTGAGACAGGGTTGCTCTGGGAAGCTTTGGAGCCTGTCCTGGAACTTGCTTTGTAGACCAGGCTGGCCTTGAAGTCAGAGATCCATCCGCCTGACTCTAGTCACTGTCTGACTTGTGCACTTTCTTAATGACTAATGTGGGAGGCCCAGCTCAGTCCACTGTGGTGCCAGCCCTGGGCTGGTAGTCCTGGGTGCTATATCAAGCCAGCTGAGCGAGTGATTAAGCAGCATGTCCTCATGGCCTCTCCACCAGTTCCTGCGTCCACTCTTCTCTGATTCCCCAGTGTGAGATGAAACAAACCTTTTCTTCCCCAGACTGCCTTTGGTACTTTATCACAGCACAGAAACGAGTGTTTTATCTGCACATGTATGCCCTGGAACTGGAGTTTTATGACCCAGGTCCTCCTTCCTGCAGGGGCAGCCAATGCTTCCAATCACTGAGCCATCTCTGCAGCCCCTGTTAAGAAAGGGTTTCTCTATGCAGCCCTGGCTGCCCTGGGACCCAGACCCACCTGCCTCTGCCAGCCCAAGGTGGTGCCACCACTGCTGGGCCAGCTCTTTAGTTTATTAAAACTCATCAACGGCTGCTCCTTGCCTCTTTGAAGATAGCTCTCCTCTTACAGCCCTGCCCAGGGAGGTGTCACCCTAGCAGGCAGAGATGGAGCATCTCACTTTGCCTTTGAGCAAGGGAGCTAGCTCACTGCAGCTTCTGGGAGGAAGTCCCCTGAAGTCCTCTGGTAAGGCCTTACTCAAGGTCAGCAAGTCTGAGCTTGCTTTACCCGGCAGGGCTGCATAATGGGATGATTTGGCCAAGGGCACAGTTACCAGGTGTTTGGAAGGGTCTACACTCGGTACTTTACACATCGACCTTGAAAGGTCGATGTATAAAAAGCCCACAGTGATTAAACTCTGGTGACTGGGTATTGACCCAGGGCCCTCCCGAAGCTATCCTGTGTCTTTGTTGTGTCTATATTTTTATCTAATACTTCCTCATTCCTCACTCCTCCCCCAAGAACCTTCTGAAAGGTCAGAGCTGGTCTCCAACACTCAAGGAGCTTATTTATGACCCCAAACATGGAATCTTAAAGCCACCTTCTATAGACAAGGAAGGAAGCACCTCCACCCAACTGTGCGTGTAGCTACTCTACACCTTGGGGACTGCGGTGTGCACCCACCCGCACCAAGTAATCCCTGTCCCTTGATGCATTTGGCTTCCTTCCTCATCAAACACCAGTGAATCACACTTTTATCTAGACAGCTGCTTGGGTCAGTTAGGATGGAATTCAGCCAGGATGGGCAAGCCAAGATCGCCAGAGGCTTGACTTTCCCTCCAGGAAACTGTCTTCCAGGTCCCATCAGACCCCTACCTTGGCCAACCTGCCCTTAGCAGCAGTGGACCAGGCTGGCAGTGGGTGACCCCATGGAGAACTACAAACAGGGCACAAGGACAAAGGGCTGCCTTCCCTGCAATCAGTGGTTGCCACGGTGACAAGAGAAGCCCCAGCACCTGCAAATAAATGCTGAACAACAGTCGGTACAAAGACAAACTCCAACGATCTTTATGATCCTGCTCAGGCAGGATCACTTCTCTAACCAGCGGGATCCACTGGATCCAGGTTGAGGTGTGAACTCAGTAGATTGTCTCTCTCTCAAAGGAAGGACTGAAAAAATAATGTATCTGCCTACCTTGTAAAAGACACAACATTTTCCAGCGTTGCAGAGAAATATAATCTGTGTGAATTCAGCCCATAAAAAAAAGCAGCACCCTGGAGTTGGTCCCCAGTGTCACACACACAAACCAACACCTGGCAGTCTGCTGTGGGAACCCCAACTCCACAGGCACTACAAGAAAACCTCCCACCCTCATTTAAAACAAACACAAACCCTACCCTCTGCTCTGCTCAACTTTACACTTGCTTAAGGCAGAGGCCCGGACAAGCAGCAGGACGGATGGCAGCCACTCCTCCTGGGCCAGGAAAACACACCCGCTCCCTTTGTAACAGGAAACAGATCCTCAAAGACTGCAAAACACCCAAGGGCTCCTGGAGACAGAGGCCCTTTGAAGAACACACCTGGACACCTTGTAACCACTACGTCTAAAGGCAAAAGTAAACAGCGGCAGACACCAAACTTAGCTCATCGAAACCATCTCTCCCCCAACCCAACACAGCTCACAGAGGACAAGGACGTGACCACCGGTCTGGGAGAAGTGGGCGTGTTCGGCCAGGCCACCTTGCCTGGCCCGGAGACTTCAAGCCTAGCACCAGTCAATAGAGCTTTGGCTGCCTGCCGAAGCTGTGGTGTCTGCGGCCCAGCTGGCTCATGACCGCTTAACATCTTGTTCTCTCCATTTTCTTCACTCACACGGGAACTTATGAACAGGGCATTTTCAGTGACTTCTATGGCCAATGCTTCAGCGGCCTCTCAGCAGGTCTGCTGGAGACAGGCGGCCTGCACTGCAAGATCACAGCTCCTTCCAGTTGATGGGCCTCTTGCCTGACTTCTGGAGCAGTTCATTGGCTTTAGAAAAATGTCTGCATCCAAAGAACCCCCTGTATACCGACAATGGGGAGGGATGGGCCGTTTGCAGGACGTGGTGACGCTTCTGAAAAAGAACAGAGTTCAGTGTGGCAGCTGGCACCTTCTCAACATAACCACGGCCATTGTGCCTCCAGACAGCTGGGCACGCTGGGCCTGCCCACTTTCTCAAGTGTATTCACCCCTGCACTCACAAACCCTGAAGCTCACGTTTGCCGGGCTCTGAGGCACAGGGCACCGTCTGCAATGATAGTGGCCACACCTTCTCACCCAGTTACCACCGCTGACTGTACTCAGGTCAGTTTGCTGACAGGTGCTGTGAGGCATAAACTACAGAGGGGCTCAACAGCAACACACGCAGCTGCGCTGGGACAGAACCTCGGTCCTCTCGAAGAGTAGTTAAGTGCTGACCTGAGCCCTCTCTCCATCTGAGGCTGCTAGCCCCATGGCACGGGGGACTGTGTCCCCACCTTCAATAGCCCCTCTGAGATTACACACCCACACCCATCCATCCACACCAGGTTCAGTCCCGCCCAGTTCTGATGCACCTGCCCCCTGGAGATCCCCCTGGTAAGCCCTCCCCTCCCCACCTCTGCCCCACTGTTTACATCCACCTGCAGCCATCACTAGAGAAATACTGGCATCCAGCCCAGGAGTGAAGACAGAAGCAACGTGAAGCAGTATTGGGACATTTCAGGGACATAGGTGACTGGATTCACGGGTAAGACAGGATTGAACGGCAAGAAGGGTAAGAGGGTTCAAGGAAGATACTGGCTCAGGCTTCTGCCCCAGTGACGTGGTGACAGGCAAGTGCCCAGTCTTGAAGCAGAGACAGGGAGGAGAAATTCACAGTGCTCCGGTCCTGCTGGGCATTCACAGTGCTCCAGCTAAGTGCTCACTGCTCACGGCATCTGAGTAAATCGTATCTGATTCAGTGGAATGCCTGTTTTCTGTACGGTCCCAAGTTTCTGGGAAGCAGGACACTTGCCTTATTCATCAAGCATTGCATCAGACGTAAACATGGTGCCAGGGACCATGGTGTCCTTCTACAGGGCAGGTTAATGCGTCTATTAGATTACCAACCGCAATGAGGCACATGAGCATCCCACTGTGTCTGAACTTGTCCAGCTGTCGGGGGAACCTGACTCCACTTATAACGGATTTTACACTCTCATTCCATAACCCAGGCTGGCCCACAACTCAGAGCACCCTTCCCACCTCAGCCTCCTAGGTACTGGGGCCACATGAGCCACCACAAGTAGACCTTCTACGGCTATGCACACAGGCAGCAGGGACCCCGAGGTTCCCACGCACCCTATCAATGGCACTGCCCTTCTTCTGGGCGTAAGAGCCCCAGAGCAGGAAGACAAGGCCAGTCAGGTTCTGATTTAGCCACGACACAACTGCATCCGTGAACTGCTCCCAACCCCGCTCCTTATGGGAATTGGCTTGGTGGGCGCGGACGGTGAGGACAGCATTGAGGAGCAGGACACCTGTGAACACAGTGGGGGCAAAGGTCAGGAGGCAGCACAAACAAATTCCAACAGCAGGTTACATGTGGCCAAACTGCTCACAGCAGACCCGGGGCAGAATGAAATTGGGTCATGAAGAGTTACAGCATGGCCAGCGGGACATCTGAGCCAGATTCAGGACGTTCTGTTCCCTATCTGCCCTCTCGGCATCTTCGGGAGTTTTGGGTAGGAAACAAAAAAACCAAAGTGTTCCCCCCCCCCCAAAAAAAATCCTAAGTGATACTAAAGAATCAGAGAGAAGAGGAGCCAAAACAGTTGACGGCAACAAAGTCAAACTGTTGGAAGCCAAGAGCAAGCATGCTGAAACTAACTACCATGGTTAAGAGTGGCTGAGGAGGGGCTGGACAGATGGCTCAGTGGTTAAACGCGCTGAATGATCTTCCAGGCGACCCGGGTTCAATTCCCAACACCCATATGGCAGCTCATGACTGTCTGTAATCCTAGTCCCAGGGGACTCAACACCCATGGCAAAACACCAATGCACATACAAAAAAACAGGAGTGACTGAGGATAGCACAGGTGTAACAAGCCTCCAGGACCTTATCAGAGGCCCCTGCTACAGGATGGCCAACTTTGAAAAACAGAGCGATGGGACTGGAGATGGCTCAGCAGTTAAGCGCACACCAGCTCTTGCAGAGGACCTGAGTTTAACGCCTAGGACCCATGTTGGGCAGCCTACACCTGCCTGTAACTCCAGCTCCAGGGAATTTATTGCCTCTGCCCTCCACCAACACCAGCACTCAAGTACATGTACACACACACACACACACACACACACACACACACACACACACACACACCTACATACATGGGTATACAGGGAGGAAGGGAGGGAAGGAAGGACAGACAGATAGACAAAAGCAAACCAACAAGAGGCAGAGAGAGAGCAGGATGCCAACACTGATCCAAATACGCCTAGCTAGGCTTGGTTACCTTGTCTGGCCCACCCCGATAAATCCCCGTGGCCAGGATGAACAAAACCATCGATGTCTGTGGACAGCTCCTTAAAAATGTTTTCCAAACTGAAAACAAGGCAAAGAAAAGCACAATGAACCAGAATCTCCAGCAGTTTCTAAACTCAACAAAGGTGGATGTGAAAAGGTAAGAAACACAAAGCCAGGGTGGGAGGGCACAGTAACTGTGAGAGACAGCCACCCACAGCCGTGACCGGCCATCCGCCACAGACCTCACCGTGGAAAGCCTGAGTATGGCGGCCACAAGCCACCTTCTCTTTCTATGTTTATGTACAAACCCCCCGAGCAGTGCCGAGCCTTGTGGCCCAGTCCACACGACAATGCCACCTGATCTTGACGCCTCTGGACTGAAGCCAGCTGCACCGTGGATGTACCTGGGCGGAGGTGGAACTGGTCTTTGGACACTGAAGCAGAGCCCGTGAGCCTGATTAGGTCCGTGATAGGGATCCTGTCCCAGAATGACAACTTTCACCTGTGAGTGGGAAGATCAAACAGCGTGTTCAGTTCAGAGGGACACGTGGTGGACACACGGAACCCAAAAGGAGCAGCCCACCACACCCTAGCAGCCACATTAACAACCCATCCTTCAGGCAGGGGCCTCGACGCCATGGCCCACCCACTTAGGACAGTTTGGTGATTCTCACACAAAGGAACACATGGAACCACTCAGAAACATACCGAGGGGGGACCATCCTACCCCATCCCGAGCTAGCGCCACAATGGGGTGGGGGAGGTGGTCACCGCAAGCGAGTCACTTCTCAGTACCTACGCAGGAGTCCCTGCAGCACAGGGACCACCTCTGCTGACGACAATGTCAAAAGGCTAGACACTCCCGGGCCTGCTACCACTTACTGGGCGGCCTTTCTAGGCAGTCAGCCTGGCTCTCATTGTGGGAAAACAGAGCTTTCCCAGCCCTGCGCCCAGACTCCCCCACAGCTGATGCCCTGCAGGACTGATGGGCAACACTAAGAGAAGGAGGCCAGGTCACAAGTGTGGGAGCAGCTGGCAAGTCACGAAGACTGGTGTCTTTCTCGGGTGTGGCAAGGCTGATCTCTGGACACAGTCCCAGCTCTGTCTTCACGCTTCTGCTTCCCGTCCTTTCGAGCACTTCCTCTATGGCTCACTGCAGACTTGTATTCCCACTGAGCAGCTCTGTTTCGGTCTCGGTTCCAAGGAGTTGGCGCATCCTCCATGGTGAAGAACCGGGGCACACAGAACTTTGCTTTCCTGTTCTAGGACTCCGGGGGTGGGTTAAGGACAACTGTGGACAGAGCACCTGGTCTTCCTGAACCTGTGTGCTGCCCCCAGAAGTCCCCAGCAGACACTGAGAGGACCCAGGTGTCTAAGAACCCAAGCATGAGGAGCCCCATGTTCCATTTCCTGAGGCACAAGCAGTGGGGTTTGCTCAGGGTCAGGCTGCAGCATGGCGGCTCACTCATCGACTTTACAGCCACGGGAGTATGCCATTCACTGACTCCTCAAGATCACGGAAGGCAGGGGCGGACCAGGGCGCAGACACCCCTGCTCAGAGAGCACCTGTGTGCTGCACTTTCCCGGTTCAGACAGCCTAGACACACACTGAAGCTCCAGCAGGAGCGGACACACAGCAAGAGCTGATGGAGACAGGCAAGCGGAGAGAGCCCACAAGGGGCACCCAGGCCTCCTGACAGACCGACCGAAACAGAGCAGGTTCACTTGCAGCAGCAGGAGCAACGCCTTTTCTTTTCTGTTTTTTTCTTTCTTTCTTTTTTTGAGACAGGGTTTCTCCGTGCAGCTCTGACTGTCCTGGAACTCACTCTAAACCAGGCTGGTCTCAAGCTCAGAGATCCGCCTACCTCTGCCTCCAAGCGATGGGATTAAAGGCGCAATCTCTCACCACCTGGCAAGGACGAGCAACTTCTAACGCTCCACAGCACACTGTAGTAACCGCAGTCGACAACAATTACATAAACACTTCAAAGTAGGAGCAGGGACTGGAACGTGTCCAATACAGAGCGAAGATAAGGGCTGGAGATGGTGCAGCAGTTAAGAGCATCGGCTGCTCTTGCAGAAGACCTGGGTTCGTTCCCAGCACCCACACGGCCCTCTGCTGGCCGCCAAAGGCACTGCATCCATGTGCCACACAGCACACATGCAGTCAAAAATGCAGAGAAAATTTAAAGTCTTTACTAGAAAAAGGAAAACAAAGTAAAAATAAATGTCTGAACTAACACACATGTCAAACGTACTGCAATGTCACCATACCTGTACAGCATGTACAGTCAGTTGTGTTCATTAAAAGTAAAAAGTGTGGCCGGGCGGTGGTGGCGCACGCCTTTAATCCCAGCACTCAGGAGGCAGAGCCAGGCGGATCTCTGTGAGTTCGAGGCCAGCCTGGGCTACCAAGTGAGTTCCAGGAAAAGGCGCAAAGCTACACAGAGAAACCCTGTCTCGAAAAACCAAAAAAAAAAAAAAAAAAAAAAAAAAAGTAAAAAGTGTGGGGTTGAAAAGGTTCCATGGGTAAAGCTACTTGGCTCCAAGCCCAACCATCTGAGTTCAATCCCAGAACCGGTGGTGTAGGGAAAGAGCCGACTCCTCTAAGTTACCCTCTGACTACACAAGTGCAGTGCACACTCCTACAAATAGACAAAGATAAATGAAAAAAGATGTACTTACAAAAGAGAAAGGAGAGCTGGAGAGATGGCCCGGCAGTTAAGAGCACCGACTGCTCTTCCAAAGGACCCAGGCTCAGTTCCCAGCACCCACATGGCAGCTCACAACTGTCTGCAACTCTAGTTCCAGGGATCTGACTCCCTCACAGACATACATGCAGGGAAAACACCACTGTGCATAAAATAAAAATTATTGCCGGGCGGTGGTGGCGCACGCCTTTAATCCCAGCACTCGGGAGGCAGAGCCAGAAGGATCTCTGTGAGTTCGAGGCCAGCCTAGTCTACAGAGTGAGATCCAGGACAGGCACCAAAGATACACAGAGTAACCCCATCTCAAAAATTTAAGAAGAGAGAAAGGAAGGATGCCGTACACCGAGGCTCCTGAGAACAAGACAGTGCAAGGGAAAGCCTCAACCTGCAAAATGCCGAGCTGAGCTAGGACCAACCACACTCGGGCTATGATCCAGCTACCCGAGAGGCCGAGGCAGCGCATGAAAAATGTAAGACTGTGGCACAATGGTAAAGCACAATAACCGAGACCATGAGTTCGATTCCCCAGCACGGCAAAAACCAAACACAACAGAAAAACAAAATTAAAGCAGAAATTGAAGGTCAGCCTGAATTACAGAGTATGTGCAAAGCCAGTCTGGGCGACTTAGATCTGGGTCAAAACAAAATGGGCACAGCTCAGTGGTGAGCACTGGAGGTCCTGGTTCAATCCCCAGCACAGCTAACAACAAAGGCCATGACAGACAGTACTGGAGTCACTGAGTGGTGTGGCCCTCGAAGCCCGAGGCAATGTAGTCTCTACCCAAATCCACAGGCCCAAGAGTTTAGCAAGTTGTGGCTTCAGGGCCCAGGCTTAACAGGGGAGTCTGCACCTGGGCAGGGGTTGTGACACTTAGATGAAGGTTTGGAAGTGATCGGCTAGGCAGGCTACCTGAATCAAGTACCCCAGGCTACCCTTCCTATGTCTGAGGTATAACAGCACTTGTTCTCAACTTTTGTTTTGTTCCATCAGGGTCTCAAGTAGCCCAGGCTGGCCTCCAACCCACGTGTTGAGATTACGGGCATGTGTTGACACAAAGATTCTCTTTGCATTTCCCCCACATTATGAACAGAAAGACCCTCACTTCTCCAGTCCCACTGCCTACGATCAAGAGACCGAAATAACTTTGGGGTTACGATACTAACAAAGGAACAATTTAAAAGAAAAAAAAATGAGCATGCAATCAAATGCGCATGTGTATTTTTCCTTTTGTTATGGAAACAGCAGTTATGATTAAAAGAATACACAGCTGGAGAAACACAGTGGTGAAAGGGTTGGGGCCGAGCGCCTCAGCCCCGCACAGCTCCCAAACCTCACAATTTCAGGGTTCTTCACTACCAAACCATTGCCTGTTGGTAATTAGGGAACATGATTTGATTCTTCCAGCTTCACTTACATCTCGGATGTCACACATCTGGGTCCACGTGAACACCTGCTCCGGGGGTGGATAGACCTTGTGATGTTTTCTTTCTTCAGCAACAAATCCCATGAGCTGATTAAAGATAAACGGGGCTTAAAAGCAGATTCCCACCGGACATCATAAGAATTAGGTTTAAAAACCCTTTTAGAGGCCGGGCGGTGGTGGCGCACGCCTTTAATCCCAGCACTCGGGAGGCAGAGGCAGGCGGATCTCTGTGAGTTCGAGGCCAGCCTGGGCTACCAAATGAGTTCCAGGAAAGGTGCAAAGCTACACAGAGAAACCCTGTCTCGAAAAACCAAAAAAAAAAAAAAAAAAAAACCTTTTTAGAAAACGTGTTTGAAGTCTTGTTTGGGTCTTTGTAGGATTTAAACCCAAACTTTTTTTTTTTGGCGGGGAGTGGAGAGGGGTGGGGTTCTAGACAGGGTTCCTCTGTGTAGTTTTGATGCCTGTCCTGGATCTCCGCTCTGTAGACCAGGCTGGCCTCGAACTCACAGATCCGCCTGCCTCTGCCTCCCGATTGCTGGGATTAAATTCGTGCACCACCACCGCCCGGCTAAACCCAAACTTTTTTTTTTTTTTTTTTTTTGTTTTTCGAGACAGGGTTTCTCTGTGTAGCTTTGCGCCTTTCCTGGAACTTTTTTTAAACACCCCAAGTCAGCACCTGCCCCCCTCTGAAGCAGCTCCATCCCATTTACTCTGGGCTGGATCAAGGCTGATTTGCCAAGCTACTTTCATTTCAGTGGCCCCGCCTCTCTTTTTTTTTAAGACCGTGTCTTTGGTAGATCAGAGTCTGCACCACCCCCACCCCGTCTCAGCTCCTGACCCTCCAGGCTACAGCTCTCAAGGACTGGGATTATAGCCCGGGGCCTCCGTCGTCTTTCCCTGATTTAAAAAAGGCCAAAGGTCATGTCATTCAGTCTGGTTAATGGTTTACTACGCCAGGGTTACCCGGCGAGCCAACCAAGTGGCGGGCGCCCGAGCGCGCCAACCAGAGTTCCAGCCCCGACCCACGTGAGCGGGAGACACCCCCCCCCTCCCCCGAGTTGTCCTGCATACTCTCTCCCGGATCAATAATAATAAGCCAGGAAACCATTTTCCAGTCCTAACTTTAACCCAAAGACCGCGGCGTTAAGTTCTGCACGGAAGGGGGAGGGAAAACATAGGAGCTGAACGTACAACCGCCCACGAGCGCAGGCTGCACCGCGCGATGCAGCGCAAGCCCCCCGCTCCCCTCTGCAAGGGGCTCGCCCACCGACCTTAATGAAGTACGGCTTCCCGAACTCTCCGCACAGTTGCTGCTTCCAGCTCTCGCCGAAGCCGGTGGGCACGTTGCGGGCGGCGAGCCTGAGCAGGGCCGCGGCCTTGTTCCTCTGGATGCGGACGAGCTGCTCGGCGCTGAGCGGCGAGGAGGGCGGCGTGGCCTGCTCGTCCTGCCCGACCCGGGCCTTCTTGGCGGGGCTGGCCTGCCAGGAGTCGGGGGTCGCGGGGTAAGACTCCGCCGCCGGGCCCCCCGCGGCGCGCGCAGGCTCCGCGCCAACCCCAAAGGTCGCGGCCCGAAGATGCCCATGGCCGAGCCGACCGGGAACGAGCCGGAGCCGGAGCCGGAGCCGGAGCCGCCGCCGCCGCCGCCCTCCGCCCGCCTCCGCGCCCCAGGCGCACGCGGCCTTTTCGCGGCAAAACTGCTCCCGCCCCCTGCCGCCTGCGATTGGACCCCACGGAGGGAGGGGCGGGAACGCTGCACCCCGATTGGCTCGGCGGCGGCCGGGCCCCGTCCCCATTGGCTGGCGTCTCGGCATGGCGGCCGCCGACGCGCGCGGCTGTTTTGAACCCGTAAGGCGGCCCCGGGTGCGCGGTGCTCCCGACCGGAACCCCGCCGCTCCCCTCCTCCCCCGCCCCCCAGGTCCCGCACTGCCCCGCACGCCTCACCGTATCGCCGCTGTCCTCGGCCGCCACGCCGCCCCCTGGGGCCGGCTCCGGGCTGCGCGTGCTCCGCTTCCCGGTGGGGGTCGGGGAGAAGAAAGAGTAGAGGGTCTTCTGGCCGATCATGCCTGCACCGAGGACCGAGCTCCGGGACGCTTGCAGCGATGCTCGCGGGCGGTGCTCACAGCTGGCGCTCAGCCAGCCCGCGCCAGTTCCAAGTGGGGGCGGGGAGGCTGGCAGGGCGGGGGGCGGAGGGGCCCAGCGCGCATGTGTGGGAGGGGCTGCGGCACCGCCCCTGGCGAGGTGGGGCTTGTGAGGCCTGTCCTCGCTGGTGCACAGGTCTTTCTCCGGGTCTCGGGGACGTCACAGCTCACGGGAAAGCCTGGAGACTTAAGAAAGGCCTTGGAGGTGGTTACCGCTCCTGCCCAGATACACCTCCCCTCCTTCCTCCCTCTCAGCCTTGGGGATTGAACTCTGGGCCTTGATGCATGCTGGGCAGCCACTTGACCGCCGATCTGTACACCTACCTTCTTGTGCTTCATCTCATGCACTTAACCCCCACATTCAGCCCTTTAGCATCCTTCAGTTATCCCCGCCCCCCCCCCACCCCCACCAGTAGAACCTCAAGTCTAGACTTGAACGATCCCAACTTCCCAACTGTTCTTTTCTACTGAGTGATCTTTTGAGGGTGTAGATTAAACCTTGACTAGCAGCTGGGTGGTGGTGGCGCACGCCATTAATCCCAGCACTTGAGCACTTGGGAGGCAGAGGCAGGCAGATATCTGTTGAGTTCGAGGCCAGCCTGGTCGACAGAGCGAGATCCAGGACAGGCATCAAAACTACACAGAGAAACCCTGTCTACAAACAAGCAAACAAACAAAAAAGCCCTTGACTAGTGCCCAGGAAAACCCTCCGGTGCACCCTGTCACCCCAGCATCTGGGAGGCCGAGGCAGGAGGATCAGAATCTCAATGCCCATCTTGGATACATAGATCTGTTAGAGGCCAGCCTGAGCTCCAGCTTCCCAATCTTAACCGACTAGACTCCCAACATCTAAGCAGTTCTCCAGGCTGCTCCCCAGCTGTCCCTCTGAGATCTTCACACCTTATAGACTTTGTCCTGTCTCTGGAAAGCTTCCGTCCTGGTTTGGGACCCTCCCCCGGGTGGTCTTCTGCCCCACCCCCACCCCCACCCTGTCACCCCCTGCTCATAACTTCCATAACTGTACAAAGTAATCTGATTTCTTACATTGTCCTTTTTTCTGTTTCCATCTCCAAATTACAGTGTGGGTGAACCAGGACCCGTGTCTAGCTGGAGGGTGCAAGAGTCCAGGACAGGAAGTGCTTTTAGGGACAGGAAGTGCTTTTAGGAAGTGAGCCGCCATCTCGGAGCAGCATGTTCTCCAAGAGCAGCAGATCCTAGAGACATACACTTTCCCTCTGGCCGCGCGACCCCACAACCACCCTCCTAGGCGTTTCCTCAAGTGAAGTAAAATCCTTCACGGAGAAAGTTTGAGCATGCATATTTATAGATTTTGCTGTGTCACCTAGAGCCAGAAACGACTGCCGCACGGTCTTTATAGTGTGCTTCATCCAAACACCAGAATACTAACCAGCAATGAAAGGGGGGCGGGGGAACTGGTGCAAATAGCATATATGGTTATATATAATATAGACACATAATGTCCGTATTGGATGCTAGAGACAAAAGACACGGTTTTATCTAAAGGCATTGTTGTAACTGAAAGTTTGTGTGTGTGTGTGTGTGTGTGTGTGTGTGTGTGTGTGTGTGTGTGTGTGTCCCACCCAGTCCGCAGCCCAAGTAAAAAAAAACTTCAACTACAGATTGTGCTTACACAAAGAAATCAGACAGGAAAGACTATACAGCATATAATTCCACTTATTTGGAATTCTGGGACAAGCAACCAGGAACAGCAGACAGAGCAGGCAGGTAGGGCGTTAATTTGGTGCCTAGAGGAGGACTCTCTGGGATGGTGAAATTGCTCTCCATCTTGACTGTTGTGGTCAGACAGTGCTGTGGCTTCGTCAGATGTGCAGGTTTATACATTGTTCCCCCGACACACACGAGACAGTATCCTGTACGACACTAGGCTCTTGGGCCCCCAGTGGGTGACCCCAGAACCAGTCCACCACCCTCAACACTGCAGAACCATCCGGGCAAGGCAGCATCCTGCGGTGCGCAGAGCGGCCGGCAGGGGGCGCTGGGCCGGAAGTCCCGCGCCGGCGCGGGGGGCGGGTGTGGGCGGGTGTGAGCTGCTTGTTGGTGCAGAGCCCTGGCCAAGCGGGGCACGGTACCCTGCGTCTCTCCGGTGGAGCACGGCTACTCGCCCGTGTCAGTCCCTTCCCCGCAGGGCGCAGGGACGGAGACACCCTGCTTTTCCGGATGACTTTGGGCGAACCCCGTGCCTCTCTGCGCGTGCGTCTTCCCATCTGTAGCCCGAGCAAGCGAATTCCGAAGGGGTGGGGCCTGGGGCTGTGCGCCCGCGATCCCAGCACTTGGGCGACCGAGGCAGGAGGATTATGTGGTTGAGGTCGGCTTGTGCTACGAAAACGTAAACTAAAGAGCAGGTCTGTGGGATTTGCAAGCTCACCACCTGGTTAAGGACTGCCAAGCAGTTCCTAGTTTTAATACCCTCTGTTTCCTTCGTAGACGTGTCTGTGGCACGCGGGTGGAGGACTAAGCCCGGCACCCGCTCGCGTGGCCATTCACCTTCAGGGCTGTGAAGGGGCGGCGGGATGGACAGGTTCCTGGTGAAGCCTGATCAGGACGACCTCCGAGGGGAAAGGGAGGAGCCAGCCCCGCCGGGAGGAGCCTCGGGCGGCCAGCCGAGCCCCAACTGGCGGCACCTTCGCGGGCAAGGTCTGGATTGTGACTACACTGTCCTGTTTGGTAAAGCCGAGGCAGACGAGATCTTCCGAGAGTTGGAGCAACAAGTGGAGTATTTTACCGGTAAGCGGAGGACTTTAGGTGTTAGGCTTCGGTGATGAAAGAATGCGCCTCTGTTAGGAGAAGCGTGAACTCAGGCTGTGACAGGGTCTAGAGCGAAATTACCTGGCTACTGATTGGAATTGCCTGGGAAGTTAAAAAACAAAAACAAAAAGCAAAAAAAAAAAAACCCCAAACCATTCTGGGTTCTCTGTGATACCGAGTCAGAATGGCTGGAGGTACAGCTGTCTTCCAGGCCAGTGGTAGAGTGTTTCTGTAGCATGCACACAATCCCAGGTTAGACCCCAGCACTATCCAAACGAACAAACACACTCATGTGCAGCCAAGTTAGTTTCTCACTGAAGGGTGGGTGGTTTAGCCGAATGCCTGCTGCCGCTCAGAACTCTGATGGCTCCCTGACCCTTGCAGTCCCGTGTCTGGAGAGTTTGCAGGTGGTGCTGATGCTGTTGCCTGGAGACCACATATTGAGAAGCTGTGATGAGCACAAAGGGTCTGTACCAGCCTCAGCTGCAATAGGCCCCATCATGAATCCGTAGGCCCCTAGTGCGGACACAAAACCATCCAGCCACAACTCCACCTCACCATGCTCAGAGCTGCCTCTTTATGCTCCCACTTCAGTTAAGGCAATGGACATACAGTTTTAAAAACTGGAGCCAGGGTATGGTGGTGTGTGCCTGTAATTTCAGAATTTGGGAGGTGGAGGTAGGAGGAGCCAGAGTTCAAGGCCAGCCTTTAAAGGCCATAAATAAATAAATATATGAGGAGTTGAAAGATGACTCAGCAGTTTAGACCACTAGCTGCTCTCCCACAGGACCCAGGTTGAATTCATAGCACCACACGGCAGCTCACAACCCTGGGTAACTCCAGTCCTAGGCACTTCCAGCCTTGGAGGGACCAGACATATACAGGGTGCACAGACATTAATTACATGCGGGCAAAATAAAATACATAAAAGTTTTTTGTTTTGTTTTGAGACAGGATCTCACTGTGTAGCCCTGGCTGTGCAAGAACTCACCGCCTGCCTCTGTCTCCCAGGTGCTGGGATTAAAGGCGTGTGCCACCACCACCCCACTACATAAAACAGTATTTTTTTTTTTTTTTTTTTTTTTTTTTTTGGTTTTTCGAGACAGGGTTTCTCTGTGTAGCTTTGCGCCTTTCCTGGAACTCACTTGGTAGCCCAGGCTGGCCTCGAACTCACAGAGATCCGCCTGGCTCTGCCTCCCGAGTGCTGGGATTAAAGGCGTGCGCCACCACCGCCCGGCTAAAACAGTATTTTTAAAAAGAAAGGAGAGATGAGAAAGATGGGGCCTCAGCTGCTCATAGACAAAGTCATCTGCGGTTTGTTGGTTTCTGTTTTTTAATTCTTCAGTTTCATGTGTGTATATGACATTTTGGCTATTTTGACACACTACCCATTCTTTCAGCCCCACTACCGTAGAACCCTTCTTCCCAAGCCCCTGACATGCTTTCATGTCATTTTGGTTTTGTGGCATGTGTGTCTTTATGTTTTGTGTGTCTGTGTACATGACGAAGCCAGGGAGCCCTGCCCAATGTGTCCTTAGTACACTCATTTGCATCCCCCCCCCCCCCCCCCCCCCCCCCCCCCCCCCCCCCCCCCCCCCCCGTTGTATAATGCCCAGCCTGGGACCCCCTCATTGTTTGAGATAGGGTCTCTTGCAGGGTCTGGAACTTGCAGCTCCAGCTAGAGCAGCTGGCCAGGGAGGCCCCCCCCCCCCCCCCAGCAGTGGGATCTGAAGTGACGGGCACTTCGCCGGCTGATCCACCTTGCCAACCCTTTGGTTTTTTGAGACACACTAGCCTTGAACTTGTGCTGTGCCCACTTCAGCGCCAGGGTGATGAGATTACAGGGGTGCGCCATCATACCCTTTCATGAAAATGAGAACAAGCCACCGTGGCATAGGGGAAGAGGTCCCCAACAGGGCATTCATGCCACAACACGAGGAACAGAGGAAATGCCATTTCACAGTGTCCTCCCTTTTGAAGACCCAGCCAATGCGTGTATGGGACTCATCTGCCCACATCCCGTGAGGGTCGGGATGGAGCTGCCATTTCATCTGCACAGGTGCTCTGGCCAAGGTCCAGGTGTTTGGAAAGTGGCACAGCGTTCCCAGGAAGCAGGCGACCTACGGAGACGCTGGGCTGACATACACGTTTTCCGGTCTCACGCTGACACCGAAGCCCTGGATTCCAGTTCTAGAGCGTGTTCGAGAGCGAATCTGCAGGGTGACAGGACAGACCTTTAACTTTGTGCTCATCAACAGGTAACATTTCCTCCACGGGGAAGAGCTCAGGACTCCATCATGCGTTGTTCACTCGTGACAACCTTTCTGCACTGGATGAGGGCTGAGGGCTTTCTGGGACCGGAGAGATGGGGCTGCTGCTCTTGCAGAGAACCCAAATTCAGCTCCAGCAGATCCAACCTCTAGCCTCCCTGAGTATTTGAACTCCCATGCATGGAACCATACACAGAATTAGGAATTTTTTTTTTTTTTTTCGTTTTTCGAGACAGGGTTTCTCTGTGTAGCTTTGCGCCTTTCCTGGGACTCACTTGGTAGCCCAGGCTGGCCTCGAACTCACAGAAATCCACCTGGCTCTGCCTCCCGAGTGCTGGGATTAAAGGCGTGCGCCACCACCGCCCGGCCCGGAATTTTTTTTAATTTGGTTTTTTGAGACAGGGTTTCTCTGTGTAGTTTTGGAGCCTGTCCTGGAACTCACTCTGTAGACCATGCTGGCCTCGAACTCACAGAGATCTGCCTGGCTCTGCTCCCGAGTGCTGGGATTAAAGGCGTGCACCACTACCACCTGGCTAAAGTTATGAATCTTTTTTAAAGGTAGGCGTTTCCAAGGAGCTCACATGTAGGAGGCAGTGAGGGGTTGGGGGAGGTTATTGGGAAAGTTAAACTGATGGATGGGGCTGAGGACGGGGCTGGGTTTGGGGCAGGGACTTAGGATGGGTACACCACTGCTGACCTTTGGCATCAGGAAGTACTTTTCTGTGTGGGGTTGACCTGTGCACTAGGACACTTAGCACAGCCCTGGCCTCCACCCAGGAGGTGCTGGGAGCACCCTGTTTCCGTGATTGCAACCGACTGTGTGTTCTGAGGACGGAACAGCCAGGCTGCGAGGCCTGGGCTAAAGGGAAAGCCATTTGGCATGGGGTGGTTAGAGGGGGAGGCCCTCAAGGCAGTGACATTTGACGTGGAACTACCTAGAGCTGGAGACACCAATGTCTGGAGTTGAGCCGAGGGAGCGCATGGTGTCCATGGAGTGGACATCCCTTTGGTGCGGCTGGGGATCAGGAACCGGGGAGAGAAGAGTATGAAGAGCGGGGCTGGACTGCACAGGGTGACGGTTGGTGTGTGTGCAGGAGGAACAGGGCAGGCTTTCCATGCGTGAACCCGGTGACTGGAAGGCGTGGCTAGTTGATGTGATGTGTGAGGTCTGCAGGCATCACAAGTAACTAAGTGTCCTAGTCAGTGTCCTGTTGCTGTGAGGAGACACCATGCCCAAAGCAACCCTATTAAAGAAAGCATCTCCTTGAGGCTTGCTCACTGTTTTAGAGAGTTAGTCCATGCTCATCATGGTGGGCAGCAGACAGGTGTGGCACTGGAGCAGTAGCCCGGAGCTTGACGATCTGATCTGCAGGCAGCAGGCAGAGAGGGACAGACACTGGGCTTGGTGTGAGCTTTTGATTTTTTTTTTTTTTTTTTTTTTTTTTTTGGTTTTTCGAGACAGGGTTTCTCTGTGTAGCTTTGCGCCTTTCCTGGAACTCGCTTTGGAGACCAGGCTGGCCTCGAACTCACAGAGATCCGCCTGGCTCTGCCTCCCGAGTGCTGGGATTAAAGGCGTGCGCCACCACCGCCCGGCCTGGTGTGAGCTTTTGAAACTTCAAAGCCCAACCACGAGGACACACCTCCGCCGACAAGGCCACACCTCCTGATCGGCCCCAGAGTTCCACTGACTGGGAGCCAAGCATGCAGACCTATGGGCCTCTGGGGGCCTCTCTCATTCAAACCACCGCACTTGGCGAAGACATCCAGGCTGGGCTCCCTGGCCTCCCAGGCTAGGGGTGTGCAGAAGCAGTACGCTGCTTTGGGCTACAAGAGGATGAGGCTCCTGCAGCATCCGCAGGGGAAGGAGAGGGTTTCTTCGGCATTGGGATTGTTTTCCCACGACAGGTACAAAGATGGCAGCGACCACATCGGCGAGCACAGGGATGATGAACGAGAGCTGGCCCCCGGGAGTCCCATCGCGTCTGTCTCCTTCGGGGCTTGCAGAGACTTCCTCTTCCGGCACAAAGACTCTCGAGGGAAGAGGCCCCGGCGGACAGTGGAGGTCGTCAGGCTGCAGCTGGCCCACGGGAGCCTACTGATGATGAACCACCCCACTAACGCCCACTGGTACCACAGTCTCCCTGTCCGCAAGAAGGTCCTGGCTCCTCGGGTCAATCTGACTTTTCGGAAAATTTTACCTAGTAAGAAATAAAACATGTTTTTATTATTTTTATTTGTATGTGTGTGTGCCACATATGTGTAGGTGCCCAGGGAGGCCAGGAGAGGGTGTAAGATCTCCTGGTGCTGGAGTTACAGGTGGTTGTGAGCTGTTTGACACAGATCTCTGCAAGAACAGCAAGTGTTCCCAACGGCCAAGACCTCTGTCCAGCCCCTAAAACCCTGTTCTAATAATCAGCACTTTGTTTTCTCTTTGCTTGAAGAGGGGGTTGGTGTTTTCTTTACCCACAGAGAACTCAGGAGGTTTATGAAAAACCTAGGGCCCAGCACACAGCACCCAGTTCAGGAGGATGCTATGTAACATCCACAATAAAATACCACCACTCAGGCCTGGCATGACGGCACATCTTTAATGCCAGCCCTCAGGAGGCAGAGGCAGGCAGATCTTTGAAAGTTCACAGGTAACTTGCTGTACGTAAACCCACACTCGAGTGTTTACTAACAAAACCGTCTTTATTGCTATACTACACAGCAGATACAAAAGTGCCTTTAGCAGATCCACACTCAGCAGCCTACGGCGTAAGTACTAGCTTAACTTAGGTTTTCCAGGAAGAAGCTACCTACTGTGAATAACTTAAAACTAGAAATCATCATTGGTTCTATCTAATGTCTAATAATTTACAAAAAGAGGAAGTACATTAGCACTCGGTCAGGTTAACACATTTACAGCCTTGGCTCAAACCCAGGCTCTGACCACACTTGTCCTTTTGGTCATCTCTCCCTGGCTGACCTCGGAACGAGTAGCAGGACTCTGCTAAGTGCTCTAAGACCACATGTGACCGAGCGCCTGTGCGTTCACCTCAACCCGAAAGCCAGGTCTGCAGGGCCCCTGGGCCACACCAAATGGTTCAGCCGCTCCTTTTGTGGGAGCTGTGGCTTGGAGGTCCAGCACGGCACAGTCTCAGAGTCTCAAGTCCTCAGGATGCACAGTGAGACCTGATCTCATAGTCAATGCCTAGGCACATCTGGAATGTCTGCCAGCTCACTCCTGCAGAGAAAACACGTCCTTGGCTTTAACCTCAGTGACCTCTGGATAGGTCGGGTTCCAAATCTTACATCGGAAGAGTCCGTCCGAATTTGGTTTTTGTTTTTAAATCACAAACTTAGCTGAAACAGAGGTGCTATGGTGCCCTCGAGATTCCTTCATCCCTGGCTATTCGTGAAACTTCTCTGAAAACGGAAGAAATGCCCAGCGCGCCCTGTGCTTACAAGGTCAGTGGAGACACTCTTAGAACGTGGTCCTAGAGCATATGGGCAGGATGCATTGGCTGCAGTTCTGTTCAAACATCACGCTGTCTTCCTCACTGTGGGCTCTAAGAAGCAAGGCCAGAGAGCCTGCAGCCCTGGGCCCGTGCACTCTTCCGCCCAGCTCAGCTCTCAGGCTGCCCTGCCCAGGCTCTTGCCTGCAGACCCCGTTATGGGAACTAATAACACAAAGCGAGCCGTCTCAAGAAGCAGGATCAGCAGACGGTGTAGACAGCACAGTTTTGGAAAAGGCTCAGGGGTGGGACTGGCCGGTGACCTTGACTACTATAAAGAACTGAAGATTACAAAAGGCATACCCAAAGGTGGGGAGGTGTTCTCCAGGCTTTTGGGGAGGAGACTAGATTTTATTATGTAGCCCAGGCTGGCCCGTAACTTGCAGTGATCCTCCTGCCCAGCCTCTGAGTGCTGAGATTCCAGGCATGAGCTACCATGCTGTTTAGGCATCCTTAGATGTTCTTCTGACCTCTAAGTAACTTGGAAGGACGAGGGCTTTCCCAACATTGTGCCTGTGACTCTTAGGACATGCCTGTTCCCAGAACAACCAGAAGGGAAAGGCACTTTTTCTTCTGAATTGTTGCCTTCAATAATTTAACTAATTAAAAAAAATAATAATTTCACTAATTCTTGTCGTAATATTTAGGGCCTTCTTATTAAAAATAAAGATCTATGCTGGAATGTCAGAGGACCAGACAAAGGCAGTGCCCTCTGAGAACACCTAGCATGTTACAGTACAGAAAGGGTGGCTGCTGGAGTCTGTGTCTTTTAATGACCTGTGTCAGATGAGGAAGATGTTCCAGACACGATGGAGGCTGGCCTCACGTGAGGACACCTTCCAGTACACCCTGGCAGCGCTGCGTAGACAGGCTCCCGTGTGGAGCCTGCTCTCACAATACAGAGGGCTGAGGGGCTCTAGAGGGGCTGCTTGCACGCGTACACGTGGCATGCCTTCTGTTATCCTGGACATGGCCCTCACCACGGGCCCTGGCTCCGGGCTGCCCGTCACTCCTCAGCCCTGTACTCCCGCCCCTGCTGCTGTACCCTGGACAGAACTCGCTCGTAGAACAGCAGGTAGGCGCTAGAGGACAGGACCTCCTGCAGGCTGGCCTTGCGGACGGTGTCATCAGAAATCCACAGCCACTGGTTGCTGGTTGACAGAGGGTTCTTGGCCGAAGGTGGGGACCGTCGGTAAGTGACGAAGTGTCCAGAGTGCATGTCCCCATGGTGGACGACAACTGCCATCAAGCGGAACAGGTATGTGGAGGAGCTGATGGGCAGGAGAAATGCCAGTTGTTATGACAGAACCAGGCCTTGTAGGCGAAGCCAAACGTGAACCCTGTGTGCTGCACTACGGGAGCCGAGTGCAATGGTGCAGATGCACACTCTTCGATGCAGCTCTCTGCCTGCGGCACAGCAGCATGCACTCTGCTATCATGGACACAGCATGCAACACGCTTCCAACAGAGCTAAGGGCTACACAGGCTGCCGAGCTGGAATCCCAGGGACCAGATCTCCTCACACTTTACACACGTGCACACACACATGCAGATTTCATACATTTCCATAATTTTTACTTTACATGGAGTAACAATGTTATTCTACCTTGAAATGAAAGAGAAAATTACTCTGTATTTTCTTTTGTTTTGGTGAAAAGCTTGTTTCGGACACTGAGAACAGCAGAAGCAGTGAGCGGACAGTGGGCTCCTCAGCCCCCCTCCTCACCTGTAGTCGGGAACCACCGGCAGAGAGAAGGCCATCGGGGAGTGCAGGGCTGGCAACAAAGATGGGGAGCAGGCGCCATTCATGAAAATCTGGGTCTTGGGGGCCCCCGGCTGACTCAGCCCTGTAAGAGACAGTCACAAAGATGGGCAGCTGATCTGTGCAAACAACAGGTTGTGCTTTCTGTGTGGTTGCAGACAGGGTCATGCGGTGCAGCCCAAGCTGGTTCGGAAATGCCTCCTTGGTGCAGGTATGGGCAAGCAGCACACGCCATCACCTGCATCTGATCACCCTGAAGATGCACTCCACAGCAATCACCTGCATCCGATCACCCTGAAGATGCACTCCACAGCACTACTCGCACTGGACTGATGGGTGAATTCTCCCACATTGTTCAGTGTCTGTGGGGCAGCAGCTGCCCTGCTTGGGGACCCTGAACCTGCCAATGACGTGTGTCAGCTGAGCACCAGCTGCCCTGTTCTGATGTAAACCAAGGCTCTCACTGTGCACTATCAACATCGAGGTGAAGCTGTGCTGTGGTGGAGCACACCTTTAATCTCAGCACTCGAGAGGCAGAGGCAGGCAGATCTCTGAGGCCAGCCTGGTCTACAAAGTGAGTTCTGGGACAGCTAAGGCTGCCAAAGAAACTGTCATGGAAAACCCAACCAAACAACAGCAGCAAACCCCTGTGAGGTGGGCAGTTCTGTGCCTGAGGGAACTCAGAGTCTGGGGTGCTCCAGCCTCCACTCTCCTGAGGCCAGGAGTATCCCCCCCTGAGCAGTAACCACCAGAAGTGTCTCTTACTGCTTCAGGGTACTACAAGCCTTCTCGTTAGCTCTGTCAACTTGGGACACCTGCTCTGAGTGTGCACAGCAGTCCAGATGTCATACATGTGGGGCTGCACACACTAAGGAGCTCACTGTTGCCCTCTGTGGTCACACCCACCATGCTCTGAACATTAGGGACCGCCCTGCAGCTTGGGAGAGAAAGCAGAGGAGATCCTCAGCATGGACAGGGGCCAAGGCTCTCCCTGCCTAGGCTGTTCCCCATGTCTATCCAAGGTCTTAGTTAGGGTTTTTATTGCTGTGAAGAGACACCATGACCACGGCAGCTCTTACAAAGAAAACATTGAATTGAGGTGGTGGCTTAGTTTCAGACCATTATCATCATGACGGGGAGCATGGCGGTCTGCAGGCAGACATGGTGCTGGCTACATCTTGACCAGAAGGCAACAGGAAGTCGACTGTCTGTCACACTGAGGGAAGCTTAAGAAAGAGACCTCAAGGGCTGGAGAGATGGCTCAGAGGTTAAGAGCACTGCTTGCTCTTCCAAAGGTCCTGAGTTCAATTCCCAGCAACCACATGGTGGCTCACAACCATCTGTAATGAGATCTGGCGCCCTCTTCTGGCCTGTAGACAGACATGCAGGCAGAACATTGTATACATAATAAATAAATAAATCTTAAAAAAAAAAAAAAGAATCTAGTTTAAAAAAAAAAAAGAGACCTCAAAGCCCCTCCCCCCACAGTGACACACTTCCTCCAACAAGACCACACCTACTCCAACAAGGTCCTCCCTTTGGGGGCCGTTCAGACCACCACACCCAGAGAGCTAGTGAGAGCAAACCTCAGTCTCCCTGAAGTGACATCTTGTCAGGCCATGCAACTGTAGCGAGGAGGGGTGAAGTGAGGGGATGGAGGGGAGGGGAGGGGAGAGGAGAGGGGAGAGGAGGGGAGGGGAGAGGTGAATTGAGAGGAGGGGAGAGGAGAGGAGAATTGAGGGGAGAGGAGGGGAGAGGAGAATT